GAGCTCTCTCACAGGCCATGATCCAGATTAAATTAGAATAACAAACTTAGAAATAAATCTTGAAAGAGATCAAGAATTTCTCTCGGATCCTGCACAAGGCTGAGTCATCCAGGAGCAACCCAGAGAGGGACGGGTGAACCCCCACGTCCACCCAAACAGCGTGCCAGCAGCCAAAAACCTCCACATTCCACAATCAGCTTTCTGAGATCGGGCACAGACTACCCTCTGTGCTTCTGGAATCCCAGCCGTCAGGCCTATGCCCCAAAGCCACCAGTTAAGAATTTCACTCCATCTGTTACTCCGTCAACACTTTTGGACACCCTGGAGTGTGTGGATGCAATTCTGGCTACGCAACATCTCTAACTCTGTAACACTGTTAAGCCAGAAGTAGCACACCAGACTGGATGGTATGTAATATGAAAGGCAACCAATTTCAATTGACAAAATCTATATACAGAAGGCTTTACCTGTAATGTCTTAGTAATCTCTTACACAAGGGTTGAAAGGTTCCATGCTGAGATAGAAGAATCTTCACTACTGGGGCTGGAGCGATAGCACAGCAGGTAGGGTGTTTGCCTTGCACATGGACGACCCGGGTTAGATTCCCAGCATCCCATATGGTCCCCTGAGCACAGCCAGGAGTAATTCCTGAGTGGAAATCCAGCAGTAATCCCTGTGCATCACTGTATGTGACCCAAAAAGCAAAAAAAAAAATAAAAAAATAAAAAAAAATTCACAATGTTTCTTCTAAGGAAACATCTTTTGATCATCCTTTTAGCAAATTATTTATAAGAAGCAATGTAAGATAAATGATAGTGGGTCTGCTATGGGGGCATGTTCAAGTGGTAGTTGGGAAAATTGGAAATAATGGTGGTGAGAAGGGGTAATGGTGGTGGGATTGGTGTTGGAATACTGAATGTCTGTAACTAATGACTAAAAATCATTTTTTTTTTTTTTTGCTCTTTGGGTCACACCCGGCGATGCACAGGGGTTACTCCTGGCTCTGCACTCAGGAGTTACTCCTGGTGGTGCTCAGCGGACCATATGGGATGCTGGGAATCGAACCTGGGTCGGCCGCATGCAAGGCAAACGCCCTACCCGCTGTGCTATCTCTCCAGCCCCTAAAAATCATTTTAAATTATTGGGGCTGGAGCGATAGCACAGCGGTAGGGCGTTTGCCTTGCACGCAGCCAACATGGCCGACCCGAGTTCGATTCCTCCGCCCCTCTCGGAGAGCCCGGCAAGCTACCGAGAGTATCTCGCCTGCACGGCAGAGCCTGGCAAGCTCCCCGTGTCATATTCAATATGCCAAACACAGTAACAACAAAGTCTCCAATGGAGACGTTACTGGGCCCGCTCGAGCAAATCGATGAACAACGGGAGGGCCTTACTTACTTTTTAAAAAATATACTATCAAGTTACACTGTATGCAGAGATTCAAGATAGGAGATTTAGTCTTTTTTTAAGTGAATTTTCATAAAGTATCTTCTTTAACAGGGAAGCTGCTGGGTTACTCTGGATTCAGCATCCCACGCAGACAGCCATTCAAAGCTACAGAAAAATCTGGAATAAACTCTGAAATATATTTTTAAAATACATTTTAAAATATTTTAAAACTTCGGGGCCAGACAGATAGCACAGCAGGTTAGGCACTTGCCTTGCACACAGTTGATTAGGGTTTGATCCCTGACACCCCATATGGTCCCTAAAACCCAACAGGGGTGATCCTTGAGCACAGAGATAGGAGCAAGCCCTGAGCACAGCTGGGTGTGGCTCCAACCCTCACCCCTGCTAAATATGTATTTTTTAAAGGATCGATTCCAGAGTAACACCTGAATATCTCTGGGTGTGCTCCTACTCCCCCAAACTAAAGAAACAAGCGATAGAGAGTTTTAAAACAAAAGCCTTCTGATATTTAAAAATCAATTAAAAAACTGAATTAAAAATATTAAAATCCTAGAGCTAAGAAAATAGCTCAAATAAAAGTACATGCCTAACATGTCAGATCCTGTACCATGAATACCACTGAAAGGATCCCCAACACCACAAGATTTTGGCCTTATTTTAAAATATATACACATATAACATATATAAAAAACCAAAGCTCAAGATTGGGAGAATGCAAGCAGCAATTTAATAGTTTCTAAATCCAAAAGTTTGTAGCACTCATTTTACAAAAACACTTTCAGTTCTAGAATTACAAATTACTGATTCCATGCAACTTTTATAATTCAATTCACCATTAGGAAGGAAATGTTTTCCATGGCTAAATATTTTTTGAGATATAAATAACAAAGTATTTGTTTTAGGTGTTCAACATGACTTGATATACATATACATATATATATAAACTGTAAAATGCTAATCACAGCAAGTTAACATTCATCATCACAGTTTTCATTTTTTTCTTATAAGAATGTTTAAGATGTACAAGTTTTAGCAACTGAAAGTAAAACTTAAATAAGAATGCTTTCATATCATGATAAAAAATGTAAAACCAACAGAATCTATCACTAACGTCTTAATAATGGCACCCAGTTTTTGATACAGAACTGTTAGTTAAAGGAGTAAAGGATGTACTTCAGTGGGAGAGTCCATACTTCACATGTATGTGGTCCTGGGATCAATTCCCTGCATCCCCTGCACCAGAAGACTTGAAATTTAAAATTTAAAAACTTACCCATACTGTGGTGCTCCCGTTTTAATGTTTCCGATAGTGACATGAACATCATCCTCATCATCATCACTGTCACTGCCACTATCATATTCATTTTCAGTCACTTTCTATACCAACATAAACAGTAATAAAATACATTCAATAATCCACCTTCAACGTCTAGTATCTGAAAAAGTAACCAATTTGTTTCATCTATGGCTTTAGAGTTATGAAACCAATGTTTCCATTTCTTCTTTGTAACTTTAGTGTTTTAAAACCTAAAAAAGTGATAGAAATGTGAAAAAAGACGCTTTCAAGAAGTTTTTTTATGACTGCCTAATATATCTTTATATTTAAAGGTTTCTCTCTTGCAAAAAAGATCTAAGGGAATGTGCTAAGATATCCAGCAGATAGAACCATAAAAAGTAGGTATTTGAAGAACTTTTGGCAAAAGGAATGTGAAGATAAGAGTGAAAAATTAATTATGGAGCTGGAGCGATAGCATCGCAGGGAGGGCATTTGCCTTGAGCACGGCTGACCCTGGATTCGATTACCAGCATCCCATATGGTCCCCTGAGCACTGCCAGGATCAATTCCTGAGTGCAGAGCTACTGAATCACCAGGTGTGACCCGAAAAGAAAAAAAAAATCATACTGGGCACAGTGTTAGGTTGAAAAGCAACAAAATGTTACCAAAGAGTTCACCAGTCATGGCATTCATTTATAGCTAGAAGAGGTCTTGCCACATAATGACTGGGAATATATTTTATCTGAAAAACTAAAAAACATCAGCATACTTAGGAAAGTGTTATTCTGGCTCTAAACAGCTATTTTGTCCATACTATCCTATTAGTTAACTTCAAAAAAGCACCATTTAAACCAGTATTTATCAATAAGAGACAGTATGAGACCAGGATGTTCCAAGGGGCAACGGGCAGAATTCCCATGGGTGGGAGAAAGTAGGAGACTAGAGGACCATTAGCAGGAGAGGGCAGGCCACCAGGCCACATGTGGAACAAAAGGCTGGAAGGGGCCAGAGTCTGAAAAAGACGGAAAAACATGAACCTAGGAAAAACATTTTTACCAGGACAAGTTTAATCCTGCAGAGTACCAATCTCCTTGTTTCATAGAAATAAAGTAAAAAAAGTAAAGGCCCTCCCGTTGATCGTCGATTTGCTCGAGCGGGCCCAGTAACGTCTCCATTGGAGACTTTGTTGTTACTGTGTCTGGCATATCGAATACTCTCGGTAGCTTGCCGGGCTCTCCGAGAGGGGCGGAGGAATCGAACTCGGGTCGACCATGTTGGCCGCTTGTAAGGCGAACGCCCTACCCGCTGTGCTATCGCTCCATAATTGAATATATTAAAATCTCCAAAAGACCATGGTAAATTAATCCTGCAAAACATCACTTTGAAGGTGAATGAGGTCAGAGACCAACATATAAATAACATCTTGCTTAAAAACAAAACCAAAAAAACCAATTATTTTTTAAAAGAACTGTGATAATCTAACAGAACTCAAATGAAAGCAATAAACCTCCGCACACACTCTATTTCATCTGAATACCTTCCCACTATTTCTTTTCACTGTGCATCAAATAAAAATACCTGACAACCAGATTGTGCAGGATACTCAAAAGTCTAGCTAAATTTAGACTTTCTTCTTAACTAGAAATCTACAGATTATAAATACGGAAGCGACTGAATTCCAAAGCCTTATGTTACCGGTTTAGGTACACCATTTTCAGCAGCTTCCTCTTCACTTCCAGATGGAGGACTGGCACTACAAATAAAAACAAGTATACGTGTCTGTGGTTACTTTTCAAAAGAGACAGAGTATACTACCTAGTTGTGATAGTTTCCGAAAATTCTCCACACTGAGAGGGGAAAAACAAGTAAGAGCCGCCTGTTTCTTCTTCTATTCCTATGCCTTGCTTTAAATAAACATTAAACACTGAAGGTGACATAAAATTGCCTCCAAAATGTGTTAAGTACAGCAATTTTAAAACTTGGCAGAGGTATAATTAAAGGTTTTTAATACTTTTAAAATATGCATCATAATCAATTGTACTTATTCTAAACCATTTGAATACTACCTAAGGGCTATATCAGATAGCTTTTCTTAGATAGCTAAATCTTTCACTATTCAGTGAACATACAGGCATCTATTTTTTGTTGCATCAATCTTATCAGAAGTGTTCTCAGTTGTAAAGGAAGAAAAATTTAAATTAAAAAAATCATTTTTGTTTAGGACTTCCAATTTTATATTATCAAGAAATATCAAGACAAAACTCTAATCTAAAAAATTAACTGGTGGGAACGGTAGTACAGCGGATAGGGCATGTGCCTTGCACACGGCGATCCTCAGCATCCCATAGAGTCCCCTGAGCACCAGGAGTAATTCTTTAATGCAGAATCAGGAGTAGCCACTGAGCATCGCTGGGTGTGACCCAAGAAAAAGCAAAATATATATAACTAAAAGAGAATGAATACCGCAATCTGTCCGCTTACAACAAAATAGAGAACAATCAAGTTCTCGTTTCCAAGTAAGGCAAGTACATAGCCAATGGACCACCCAATAAAACCGATATGACTATAGAGCCTAGCTTCTTAAAACAGATCATCGTCCCATATGGTCATGACACAGTATGGGGTTGCATAACCAAATGTAAATGTAGCAAAACGAGTTTCACAATAAATTTGTAATTATTACTAAATGTTTACTGTTACTGTGTTTGGCATATTGAATACATCCCGGGTAGCTTGCCAGGCTCTGCCGTGCTGGCAAGATACTCTCGGTAGCTTGCCGGGCTCTGAGAGGGGCGGAGGAATCGAACTCGGGTCGGCCATGTTGGCTGCTTGTAAGGCAAATGCCCTACCTGCGCTATTGCTCCAGCCCACGAAGTTACTATGGAGATGGAGATGTTACTGGGCCCCCTCGAAAAAACTGATGAACAACGGGAGGACCGTGACCATCACCGTGATACTAAATGTTTGATATGCCTGGATTGTGCATAAGTGCCTTGGGTGAAATGAGGTCACATGTAGAAAAAAGTGTAAGATATCCGGCTACAATATGATTTTGTTTTAAATTATAATTCTGGGACAAAGAAAAACCCCAATAGCACTGTGGGTAGGGCACTTGCCGTGCACATGGCGACCCCAGGTTGGAGCCCCATCACCCCACATGGTCCCCAACGCCCGCCAAGAGTGGTTCCACGCAGGCAGAGTGTGGCCCCAAAACTAAAATTCGTAAAGCAATTCTGGGGGGCCGGAGTGAGAGCACAGTGGGGAGGGCGTTTGCCTTGCACGTGGCTGACCCGAGTTCGATTCCCAGCATCCCACAGGGTCCCCCGAGCACCGCCGGGGTAATTCCCGAGCGCAGAGCCGGGAGGAAGCCCTGAGCGTCGCCGGGTGTGACCCCCCAAAAAGCAAAATAAACTAAGTAATTCTGATAGTGCGGATTAACCGGACCGTCCGGAAAGGAGCCGTTGGCGGGGTGGGGGCGGCGCCGTTCCCGGGGCGCTGGGCGAAGCGCTGAGGACGGGAGGGCGGTGCGGGCAGCTCGGAGGCCGGGGAGGGCGTCCCGCAGCCGGGGGACAAGAGGACAGAGCGAGGCGCTGCGAGAGGAGCGCCGGGGAGCATCAGCGGCAGGTACCGGCGGCGGCAGCGGGGGCGGCGGCGGCAGCGGAGACCTGGTTCGGCGCGCGCGGCGCAGTTTCTGCGCACGCGCAGCGGCGACCCAGTGGCGCGGAGGCGGCGACCTGAGCCTGACTGCGCCTGCGCCTGCGCGCGGCCGAGGCCCCGCCCCCAAGAGATCCCGCCCCGCCTCGCAGCGAGGCTTTCTCGCCCGCGTCCCCGTCAGCTGTGCCTCCCCCCCACCCGCCCTCTGCCTCCCCCCCACCCGCCCTCTGCAAATCCCTCTTGCTTTGCCCATGGGGGCTTCCTTTTTACCTTTTCTTTCTTTTCTTTTGTTTTCCTTTCTTCTCTTTTCCTTTCTTAAGAAAGAAAAAGAAGAAGTACATTTCCCTGGTCACATTCAGAAGGGCTTCAGAAAGGCCCTGCAGGGACAGGTGTCAGCACTCTGGGGGTGCAAGATTAGGGAAGGGGCTAGGAGTTTGCATACAGAGGACCCTTCTTCCATCAGGCTCACGCAGCCTCCCCCGTTCTGACACGGTCCAGCAGCCGCTCCACCAGAACGTTCTTCATGTACCTCCTGCTCCATGTCCCATGGAGCAATCCCAATCCTCTGTCCATTCTCAATGGTCAGGGCACCTTCTACTCCCTCTCTGGCAGAGAGTCACAGCTGCTCCCCTTTGCCTCCTTCTCCTGCTTTATCTCCTTTCCATGGAAGCAAACAACTGAGTGCTTGAGAAAGGGTCCCTGGGCCTCACAGCTCCACTGCCCAGCCCTGCCTGACTGCACTACCGCCCGCAGCCACAGGGGGCGCCACACAGAGAGCAGGGGGACCCTGGGCCAGGATCTGAGCTCCAGGTATAGGGTCATGGGGTGTTAAGAGACTTAAGCCCATCGCCCTGTGGACTGGGGTCTCATTGCATGTGTCTCTGAGGTGGATCCTGGAGACCCTCTGCCTCCGGGGCTCTGAGTGAGAGAGAGCCTGAGGGGTCCTCCAGAGCATTTCTGCATCGGGGACTCTGCTGTTTCCTGGGACCTGGGCACTCTCTGTTGCTTCTCTCAGGTGTGTATGAACCACAGGACTCAGGGGCATCGCACGAGTCCTTTCAGATTGGCGATGACCTCTCTCTGAGATGCAGGCTTGAGTGTGAGGCTCCAGGCGCCCGGCCTCCCCTTGCTCAGCTGCCCAGTCCCCAGGTCAGAGGCCACGAATCCTCCATTTCCGAGTGTAGTCTCTCGCTCTGTGAGGATCAGGGTTCAGATGGAACCAGCCCTTTGGCCTGTGGGGCATATAAGGATGGTGACTGACTGTCAGGAACCCTAGGGGACTCCAGGAACCCTACCCCCCAGGCCCCTGACTCCCAGCCAAATTCTTGGCCATAGTTGCTGCCAAATTCCTCTTAAAAGACGCAATCACAGTTTGGAGAAATGCAGAAGGCATGCCCAGGAAGCATCTGGGAGCAGCCAGAGGGCACGTGTCTAGAACAAACATCTTCTGGGAGAACCTTCAACACTGATCACAGCACATCACAGAGAGAATTCTGTGCTGTGCTGAAGAGCTCACAGATCTGACATGAGTCATGTGGGAGAGGAGCTCAGTGGGTCTGATGAGTCATAGCACATGTGAGGAGCTCAGTGGGTCTGATGAATCATGTGTGAGAGGGCTCACTGAGTCCGACATGAGTTCCATATAGAGGACCTCAGTGGGTCTGACATGAGTCATGTGAGAGGAGCTCAGTGGGTCTGACATGAGTCATGTGTGAGAAGACCTCAATGGCTCTAAAATGAGTCAGGTGTGACATGAGCTCTGTGGGTCTGACATGAGTCGTGTGTGTGATAGGAGCTTATTGTGTCAGATATGAGTCAGGCATGTTAGAGGATTCAGTGTGTCTGATATGAGTCATGTGTGAGCGAGCTCAGTGGGTCTGAAATGAGTCATGTGTGACTGACATGAGTCATGTGTGAGAGAAGCTCAGTGTGACTGACATAAGTCATGTGAGTGGAGCTCAGTGTGTCTGACATGAGTCACGTGTGAGAGAAGCTCAGTGTGACTGAAACAAGTCATGTGAGTGGAGCTCAGTGTGTCTGACATAAGTCACGTGTGAGAGAAGCTCAGTGTGACTGACATGAATCATGTGAGGAGTTCAGTGGGTCTGACATGAGTCATGTTAGAGAAGCTCAGTGTGACTGACATGAGTCATGTGAGAGAAGCTCAGTGTGACTGACATCGTCATGTCTGAGAGAAGCTCAATGTGTCTGACATGAGTCATGTGAGAGGAGCTCAGTGTGACTGACATAAGTCATGTGAGAGGAGCTCAGTGTGTCTGACATGAGTCGTGTGAGAGGAGCTCACTGTGACTGACACAAGTCATGTGAGAGGAGCTCAGTGTGACTGACATAGTCATGTCTGAGAGAAGCTCAATGTGTCTGACATGAGTCATGTGAGAGGAGGTCAATGTGACTGACATGAGTCATGTGAGAGGAGCTCAGTGTGACTGACATGAGTCATGTGAGAGGAGCTCAGTGTGACTGACATAGTCATGTCTGAGAGAAGCTCAATGTGTCTGACATGAGTCACGTGAGAGGAGGTCAGTGTGACTGACATGAGTCATGTGAGAGAAGCTCAGTGTGACTGACAGTCATGTCTGAGAGAAGCTCAATGTGTCTGACATGAGTCATGTGAGAGGAGGTCAGTGTGACTGACATGAGTCATGTGAGAGGAGCTCAGTGTGACTGACATGAATCATGTGAGAGGAGCTCAGTGTGACTGACATAGTCATGTCTGAGAGAAGCTCAATGTGTCTGACATAAGTCACGTGAGAGGAGGTCAGTGTGTCTGACATGAGTCATGTGAGAGGAGCTCAGTGTGACTGACACAAGTCATGTGAGAGGAGTTCAGTGTGTCTGACATGAGTCATGTGAGAGGAGCTCAGTGTGACTGACATGAGTCATGTGAGAGGAGCTCAGTGTGACTGACATAGTCATGTCTGAGAGAAGCTCAATGTGTCTGACATGAGTCACGTGAGAGGAGGTCAGTGTGACTGACATGAGTCATGTGAGAGAAGCTCAGTGTGACTGACATAGTCATGTCTGAGAGAAGCTCAATGTGTCTGACATGAGTCATGTGAGAGGAGTTCAGTGTGTCTGACATGAGTCGTGTGAGAGGAGCTCAGTGTGACTGACATGAATCATGTGAGGAGTTCTGTGGATCTGACATGAGTCATGTTAGAGAAGCTTAGTGTGACTGACATGAGTCACATGAGAGAAGCTCAGTGTGACTGACATGAGCCATGTGAGAGAAGCTCAGTGTGACTGACATAGTCATGTCTGAGAGAAGCTCAATGTGTCTGACATGAGTCATGTGAGAGGAGCTCCGTGTGACTGACACGAGTCATGTGAGAGGAGCTCAGTGTGACTGACACAAGTCATGTTAGAGAAGCTCAGTGTGACTGACATGAGTCACATGAGAGAAGCTCAGTGTGACTGACATAGTCATGTCTGAGAGAAGCTCAATGTGTCTGACATGAGTCATGTGAGAGGAGCTCAGTGTGACTGACACGAGTCATGTGAGAGGAGCTCAGTGTGTCTGGCATGAGTCGTGTGAGAGGAGCTCAGTGTGACTGACATGAGTCACATGAGAGAAGCTCAGTGTGACTGACATGAGTCATGTGAGAGAAGCTCAGTGTGACTGACATAGTCATGTCTGAGAGAAGCTCAATGTGTCTGACATGAGTCAATGGAGAGGAGCTCAGTGGGTCTGACATGAGTCATGTGAGAGGAGCTCAGTGTGACTGACATGAGTCAAGTGTGAGAGAAGCTCACTGTGGCTGACATAAGTCATGTGAGGAACTCAGTGTGACTGACATGAGTCATATGTGAGAGGAGTTCAGTGGGTCTGACATGACTCATGTGAGAAGAGCTCAGTGTGACTGACATGAGTCATGTGTGAGAGAAGCTCAGTGTACCTTCATGAGTCATATATGAGAGAAGCTCAGTGGATCTGACATGAGTCATGTGTGAGAGGAGTTCAGTGGGTCTGACATGAGTTATGTGAGAAGAGTTCAGTGGACCTGCCATGAGACTAGCAGTTCTAAGCATCCGGACCTGCACATGCAGATCCTAGGACACTTTTTGATCACTACTCCCTTTCCTGTCCCCTCTAATTAAAGGGTTCAGAGGAACCTTAACATAAAGGCAACAGAAATAGCATAAATTCACAGAAAACACAGAAAACTGCCAGAAAGCAGGAAAATTCATAACCCCCTTGCACTTCCTTGAGGTCATAGTTGTTAACATTGTTGAATCCCTTTGGACTACTTCTAAGTCAAAATTTGGCACAGTTGAAGCACATGAAGCATAAATCCTGCGTTCAGCTAGCATTAAAACAGGCCACTAACTGCTTGTTTGTTTTTGGTGAATATTGTGTTTGGGGGGCCAGAGTCTTCTCCTGGCTTGGTGCTCAGGGTCCCTCCTGGTATAGTCAGGCGACCATAATTCCAAGTGCTGGAGACCCAGCCTTAGTTGGCCACATGCAAGGCTACCCGCTGTACTCTCTCTAGCCCCTGTTTTCTTACTTGCTTTATCATAATGGTTGGAAAATATTTCAACATATGAAATATAGTTATACTATATTATTGTATTATTATAGTATTATTATTCTATACTATAAATATAATCTTGAACAACTAAGTCTTGCCAACTAAAAGCTAAAGACAAGTATTTTTGCATTGTAATACAAGATTATTGTACTCATGGAATAATGTAAGCTAGAGAAAAGAAAGCATTATCAAGAAAATCATAAAGAGGGTCCACAGTGACAGCACAACAGGTAGCACTTGCATGTGGATGACCCGGGTTTAATCCCTGGCACCCCATATTGTCCCCTAAGCCTGCCAGGAGTGAGTAGTGATCCCTGAGCACTGCTGGGTGTGTCCCCCAACCCCAAAAGAGGGAGAGAGAAATCATTAAAAAACGTACATTTGCAGTTTTGTCCTTTATTTATCAATACCTTAAGTTTATGATATCTGCTTATAAGATCCCCATAAACATAGGCCTACACAGTTCAAACACTTGAAGTACATGGGTCAACTGTGTGCGAACAGAGATACCATAGCTTGCCCAATGGTCTTCTCTCTCTCTCTCTCTCTCTCTCTCTCTCTCCCTCCTCCCCAACCCCCTACCCCCATAAAACTCCCATGGCTGAATGCAATTCGTGGCTTTTGCACTCGTACAATGGGTAGGTTGCTTGCAAACAACATAGGCTCAACTCTCTGGCACTCCAGATGTTGCTATGTTACTGTTGAACATGCAAGGTGTGACCATGGGGATACCTAGTCAAGAATATAGGGAAATCTCTATGTTCATTTTGCAAATTCCTGTGAATTTATAATTATTTCAAACCAAAAAAGCAGTATTTCATTTAAACAAGAATCCCTACCAGGACCAACCCTTAACCTACTACTGAGTCACATCACACAAAGTTTGAAGCTTTTGCAGCAGAAACAATGTCCATGGAGAGTTTATGAAACAGAACAAAACTGCCACGTCCATACCTTTGGGTTAAGCTTTGTCAGGTCATACTTCTTCTCTGAAAGGTTTAATACCTGCAAAAAATTGAAACGTATAGAAATGTAATTATCGTGAAATAAACACAAAATAGAACAGGCATTTCCAGGTGGCAAGAGAAGTCTAGCTTGCCCAGGAGCAACCCGGCACAAGCAGGGGCACAGAGCACAGCCTGCTGAGTCACCAACACGCACAGCCGAGCAGGGCGCACGCGCCAAGCCCGGACGAAGCACATCCTGAGCGAGCTAAAGAGAAACTCATGGGAGCATGAGGGGGGTAGAAATCCAGCTCCAGGCCCCCGTCACTTCAGAGCCAGATGCTGATCAGAGTGGAGAGAAGCCCCAGCCATGGCGCCACTAAACAAGGGCCCCAGCTTCCCTTCTGAGCGGGCCTCATCCTCTTAGCCATGGTCTGAGGGGGATTCACTCTCACAGGCTTCGCAGCTCAGGAGATGCACAACCCAGTTTCAGCCTTTCTTTCAAAACAGGCCATGATTCTCCCTCACAGGACGGTGCAAGGGCACTCTGGCCCCAAGGAGGCCCTGAATGGTCTGGAAAGAACTTTGGCCGACCCTAGCCCAGTACATGGCAGCCCTGGGCCCTGCCAGGGTCTCTGTGGACTGTGGGTGATCAGAGTTCTGTGGACTGGAGTAGGTGACTACCCAGGAAGGCATGGGGGTGGGGCAAAGTTCTAAGAAACAGACAGTGGAGACTCAGAACAGGGCCGGGTGGGCCTTCACACACGTCCTCCTCCCAGAGGAACCCAGGGCCACAGCTCTTCCAGCCGGCCATGGTCACCAGCTCAGGCCCAACAGAGGCTGCAGAAGTCTGACAGGGCCATGCAGTCCTCTGGGACGAACATGTGGACAGAGGGGGAAGACGAGCTGCGTCTCACAGGGAGGTCAGGGCGGACCGAAGGCTGACTCACCCCACAGGGATCACCACACGAGAAAGTGAGCAGGACAGTGCCACCGCCACCAGATACCAGGTCTTCCGGGGCACACGTGGCAGATCCTGGCATGAGACAGCGCCCTCCACACTGCTCCTCAGACCCATGCACTAGCCACCGGGTTCTGGGACACTCACATGACCCTCCAGTTACAGGAGGGAGGTGGCACTTTGCCTGCCAGCCAGGGGGACAGTCTGAGGCCGTGTGCTGGAGCTGGGGAAGCAAGACAGGGTGGGGGTCCCCCACATGGTGATGGTGGGGCAGCCACATTGCAGAACAGTGACGCTTCCCTGTCACGTCCAAGGGGACAGGAGTCCCTGCACAATTCTTGGTGCACGCCAAAACCCTGCAAACGCTGCTGGACTCAGAGGTCAGAGGTGGGTGGGCTGCAGTCACCCCCACACGGTGCCTGGGGCGAGGGCAGCTAATACCTGCTCAACCACCGTCTCGGCCACGGCCCCCACTCACCAGGTAGTTGTCCCCATGTTTGGACCTCAGCATGCGCGTGACCTCCTGCAGGTTATGCAGGTAGGACTCCTCCGAGCAGCCCGCAGGGAAGGACACGGCAATGATGCGCTCAGTGATGTAAGTGAGGTCCAGCTCGTGGCTGTTTTCCATGGTGCAACTCAGAGCTGGCAACCTGGAGAGAGGGACTCTGTGAGACGGGGCCAGGAGCCACACAGGACGTGCAGGTCACCATCTCTGGGCACAGGGCAGGGGACACGCATCAAGGCCTGAAATTTCCTCTCTCAACTGTTCCTCCCTCTAGAGGGAAGAAGTCTTCATTTCCTTCAAGGCTCAGCTGGGACAAGGCAAGCCAGCAGTCAGGAAAACTAAGAAGAGGCTGGCCAGCAAGCTGCGTGCGGACTCTGGGCCAGCCTGGCCAGGAGGAAGGTCAGAGCAGTAGCCACAGAGCACCTGTCCCAGCTTTGAGTGTCAGTCAACAGCTGCAAGAAGCACCTTGGGGAGAGGAAATATGCCAGCAGAGACAGACCAGCTTGTCCACCTGCAGCTTGAGGGGTGAGTGTTGAAGCAACCACAGGAAATGAGACCCCCTGAGGCAAGCGGAGCAGGCAGTGGAAGGACCCTCACTTCCCTGGGAGAGACACTTACTGACGAGCTCCGGGCCCAGAAAGGAGTAAGAGGAGGACGGATACCGCTGTCAAGAGCAGAGGAGTCCCAGGGTCTGGGAAACCATGGCTACGCCCTGCAGGGCTTCCCGTCCTGCCGCCCTCAGCACAGGGACCACAGGTTCACTACTCAGGCCCATATCTGCAATGCTCCAGGTGGTGGCAGGACAAAAGGAAAATGTCCAACCCATGACAATCACAGCCACCATTAAATCAGAGGGATGCATGAACTTTTCTCCAATGCACCCCTGCATCTGAGTTTTCTCTCCCAATGAGCCAGACATGGAAGGAAGCCGGTTCTGATGACATTAAAAATCAGATCAAGGGCCCAAGCAATAGTCCAGTAGGTAATGCACTTGCCTTGCACGTGGCCAACCTGGATTCGATTCCTGTCATCCCATTTGAGCACCATCAGGAGTAATCCCTGAGTGTAGAGTCAGAAAGAAGTTCTGACCACCATTGGGTGTGCCCCACCAAAAAAAAATTTTTTTTTAATCTGAATTTTTGCACAATGAGCTAAAAAAAAATGGATAATGTCCCTGATGGCAGCCCTTCAGGGACACATTCTTCAATTAAGAATCTAGTAGAACCTCCTCCCAGAATTTTCTTCTTCACAATCGAGCCATGGCAGTATAGCTGCTGACTGAAAGACAAGATTTACCCACTACATGGGGCATATAAGAGCAGGAGGATGCATCCGCCAGGAAAAGCAGCATGAATATAGTGTGTGATGCCTCCCAGTTACTTTTTATTTGGGGGATTTAATTCAGGGCCTTATACATGCAAAGCAAGTGCCCTACTGCTGAACTACACCCCAATTAATTTTTGAGATGAAAAGAGAACTAGATTATCAAATAGTAGTACCTAACTCTAGGGGTAAATTCAAAGTCAGAGACCGGAGAAGAAACTGGGACAAAGAAACAGACACACAGACTCACCTGAGCGGTTTGTGACAAATGAGAGTTGCAGGTGGCAGGGGAAGCCGCAGAACCTGCAAACAGCAAACACGATCATTCAGATGTCCCCATCGCCGGCCAGTCACACACAGCAGGTCCCATTGAGAGGGAACAAAGGCAGCTGCTGCCGGTTTAATCATAAATGGGAACTCAAACACTCTGGCTACTGCCGTGGTTATCACCTGCTAGTGTCCAGAGCGAATGAGGATATTCAGCCCCGAGAACCGAGGACCTCAAGTGACCCAATGCTATTAACTAGCAGCTGCAGAACAGACTTCTGTGGTGACACAGTGAGGACAGTTAGTCACTGAGCACAGGCAACTGTCTGTCAGACCCGGGAGATCTCTGTCAGTGCTGGCACCATCAGCATGGCTATCGATCGAGTTCACCTGCAAGAGGATTCTTGATTATATCTACTCATTCTGTTTCAAACCTTAACCAACAAGGAGGCTGAAATGAGAGATTACATGTCTCTTCTGCTCTCACACCGCTGTGCATGCACGTGTCTCCATGTCTAAATGGGCTACATCATGCGTAAAGTCCCATCCTGGCATTCAGATGATACCGAAGAGTGGTTCTGGTCACTGTCTCAGGAGCTGCACCAGCAACTGTGTGAGTCAGAGTCAACTCCCACATTTCAGGAGGAAGGGTGAGGGCCTGTGGAAGCAGGCAGGGCAGGAGGACCCCAGAGAACCTCCACAGGCCTTGATGCCCTTCCGCCCACCTGCCTCCTTCCTCTCCATTCTCTGGGAATTCCCTCTAGGCCACTGTGTCTGTGGACCCTGCGTCTGGACCATCCTGAGTCCACACCCAGTGAGTGATCTGAGTTAAAAGTGCAGCAGGACCTGGGGACGCTGGCTCTCCATCCCCCACCCCCATTCCAACCTGGACCTCAGGACCCTTCTCAGACATAACCTCGCAGTCCTGACTTCACTTGGAGTCCCCAGGACTTCAAGAATATGAAACAAGGGAACAAGACAGGAAACCCAATGCCGAATGGAGAGCGACGGTTTTCCTGATGCCAACACAGTCCACACTTGGCCAGACCATGTCTGAACCAGTGACCTGAGACAGTACTACACAGAAGGGCTGGCGGGAGCATCCTCCACTCACAGACTGGCTCAGCGCCTCCTCACACCATGGACACAGCCGGCCGTCTTCCACATGCCCAGCAGGACCTCCCAGGGCCTGTCACAGTGGCACTGGGGCTGTGCAGCTCAGTCCTGCGGTGTGGACCTCACCTACCACAGCTCCCTGCCCCCAGACAATAGGAGCAGGTGCTGCCCTCCAAGGGTGCGGGTCCCCCAAACTCCCATGGCCACAGTCCCTAGCAAGCCCGTAGTACTGAGGGCTGCCTCACAGATTCCGCTGACCTTCTCAGAGTTCAGCTCCAAACCTTTATGTCTCAGAGCAGAAAGACAATGAACAATGAGATCTGGCTGCAGCTACTGGAAAAGCAAAGATAAAATATAAAAAGGTTTGCTGTTGGTTGGTTTTTGGGTTTTTTTAAGAGTTTGTAAGGGCGTTCTGGCTATGACATCTGTCACCCCATCAGTCGCTAGGGTGGACTCGGCTGCTGTCTCCCTCCTCCCTGACCACTCCAGGTGCTCTTTCCCCAGCTGTGCACTCGGCCAAAGAGCTCTGAGCACCTTCTCCAAGAATGACTTGGAATAATAACCTGAGACATGCACCAATCTAATATCTTAAGGACAGCCTGACAAAACAGATGAAAAGCATTTAAAACACGGGAAGCAGGTGACTTGGCAATGCAAGCATCATTTTCTGGGAAAATCACTCACAAAATTCATCTATATTATTGGACAACTCCAACTCCTCTCCCTGGAGCTCTGGAACAATCAAGATGCCTTCTGCGACCTTGTTCAAAGAGGTAGTTTCCAGGGCCAGATACAACTGCACCAAGAAGATGCTTGCCATGCTCTTGGCCAGCCTGGGTTTGAGTCCCCATTGGCACCGCATACAGCCCTGAAGCACCGCCGGAAATGATCCCTGAGCACAGAGCCAGGAGCAAGCCCTGAGCAAAATGGGGGTGGCCAAAAAAACCCAAAATGAAACAAAAAATAAATAAAAGAAGGTGGATTTTCAAGGAGCTTCAGAATGATTTTTAATTGATTTTTAATGAGGGAACAGTAAGTCAAATAAGTTGTGAGCCTCTGGTCTATATGAACAACCCTATACACTGGACAATTGTTTATGGAACAGCCTCAGATTTCCATCACATGCCTGGATTAAATGAGTTGAAGGGATCCAACAGGAAATGTCACAGCTCTGCAGATAATGGTGGTTGTTACCAAAACCGAGTGCCAATACTAACCAAAGGCCCAATTATTTCAGAGACAAGAGTTGATAAAGAATTCAGCCAAGTGCTAGCCCTGAAGAAACCAGAGGCAGAGAACACTGGACATCGAAACTAGCCTGTCTCTGGCCCTCTGAGGGCAGCCATGGACAGCTGGCAGCAGTGGCTCAGAGGGGCCCCCGTGCTCCTCAGGGGAAGGGTCAGGGTCTTGGCCACTGCAGGGCTGCAGGCCACCCTTCTCAAAATGACTGTACTTCCTCCTTGACCAACACAGTGACCATCCAAAGCCCCGATGTGCCTGTTCATTGCACTCAGTCTAGCCCAGTGTTTCAGAACCAGTGTCTCTGGCACAGACCCAATAATGAGTTCGATTGGCCCCCTGCGCCTAGCCCCTGATTTCCATCCACACCACTGTGAATGCAAGATGCCCCAAGCACATAATCTGTAAGGAGATGAGCACACAGCATGAAACGGCACATACCACTACATTTCAAGCAGACAATGACCCCCAGAGCCACCCTTAACTATTAACTAGCTCCAAGGGACTTGATTCCATAATTGAGAATTTTTCAAATCCTCTGGCCTGTTCAGGAAGAAAATGCAGACTCAGACCCACCAAGATGTGCAAGTATTAAGTGCCAACGCCAAGCAGGAGAGAAGCCAGCCACACCTCAGAGTGTGAAGGGCCTCCAGGCCCAGACCCAGCACCAGTGATATCCAAGGGTTTCCCAGTCACTCCTGACACCGCCGCAGGTGAGCTGCAAGGAGAGAGTGGAGTCACCTCCCAAAGGCTCCTCCACGTGCCCTCTCCTCTCTCTGCCTGAAGGCTCACCCGAGCCATTTTTGTTTTCCTAGTGTCCCCATCATTATCTCACAGATACACAACTCTGCCTGCCTTCAAGACAAAGCACTGGGTAGCCTCCAGGTTCCCAGAAACGCCAGCACCCAGGAGAGCAGTGAAGAGGCTTTCTCAGGGCAGTGTCTGTCCTGCAGCTGTCCCAGAGCCCTGAATCTTCCCTGGAGATCCCTGACTGTCCCTTGCCCCAAGAAGCCTTGTTCAGTGTGCCCAGCATGGATGGACATCAGCTAGATGAACGGAGATAATGAAGCAAATCCATGCACGCAAATCCCTACCCATGCTCGCATGCACTAGACGCACTCAGAAAGCCAGGCTGAAACTCCCGCTCCCACTTCGTTTCCTCTGCAGTCACACAACTGTACCCTAGGTCAATTCCCACCATACAAACAAGCCCTGGTTCCAAATGAATGCACATGAACCATGCACAGTAGGAGTGATTCTTCAGCCCATCACACCTCTCAGCCCCATTCCCCTGCCCCAGTGACAAGAGCTGGAACTGCCAGCACCCACTGCCTGATACTCATGTTGGCAAGGCCTCACATGGTCCCTCTGTTGGGGCATGCGCCCCTATCGTGGAAGGAAGAGCAAAGGGGCTTATGTGCTGAGAGGGCATTGCAGGCAGGGCTTGTGCGAAGGCCCTAAAGTGGGACTGGCTGCTTCTCGAAAACAACCTGTGTGCAGGAGGGACCACTGTCGTCAGGACAGGCCCAGGAAGAGTAAGACTAAGGGAGTCAAAAGGGGCCAGCCCACCCACCTTCTCAGCAGGAACCCCACAGGACGGAGAGAAGAGCAGTCCTGCACCCTTTTCCTGCCCTCTGGCTCCTCATTCCATAGCAACGGGCAGATTCCTCAAGCCAAAGGGCCTGGGTCCCTCCAGCTACCCAGTTGCATACCAGGGTTCCCTCTGGACTCCCTCTGCAAGGTGATCCCCACCCCACCCCCATACTGCTGCTAATAGGTGAAGGTCAGCAAAGAGTGCCCCACCTGGTTCCACGGAACACCCTGGAGAAAAGCACCTCTGCTGAACCCCAGTTTAAGGAAGTATCCTTCAGAAAGACTAAGTTGTCTCAATCACACCGGAAAGGCACTGCGGCAACTTCTGACACCAAACTATGGACACTTTTCACACCAGCCTAGCCAGTCCTGCCTGGTCTGTGCCAGGGTCAAACCAAATTGTAACGTTAGACACCCAAACTTAAGGGGAGCAGTGCGACAGAGAGTCAGGGGACGGAGCAGCCCCTGCCCCTTCGGAGTCCGTTTCTGACTGAAATCCCCTCACAGGAAACAATTTTCATCAGGGGCTCCATCTGGAACCCAGGACAGTGTACAGGAGCCAGAGCTGCCTGGCTGAAGCCCACAGCTGTCCAGAAAGTTCTGTATGCCCTCAAATAACAAGAGACACCGCAGGGCCAGGAGGAAGAGTGGGGCCTTTGCACAGCCCTCTGCAGAGCAGGAAGGTAACAGGGGCCTGATGTCTCTGCTTACCTTTCCAAGCACCGCCGCTCTGGGACAGCCCCTGATACACATGTTTTACTGAAACATGTGCCAACTGACTCGCAGTGATGAGAAGCTTACACCCAACTTCATGGAAGACATCTAAGAAAGTCGCTATACTGAGAGCCCAGAGCGGCAGGTGTATAAGAAGGGCTTACGCATCCAACCCAGGGCCCACTTCTCTGCAGTGACCACCCCAACTAGAAGCACCACACTGCCCTCTCGCCTGATATCCAGATGGGGTGCACTGCCCACGTCTGCCTAGCTGAGCCTCCCTCCCCCTGTGTTCTTTTTGGTACCTGCTTATCACACCTGTAGCCTCTGAAGGTGCCCAGAGGAAAAAAGAAAGGATAGAGGAGAGAGCAATT